TTTGTTTACCCTAGAGCTTGTGGGGGGAAGCTAATTTTACAGTTAACCGACTACTCAATCGAGTTTCCCACAGTAAAGCGCAATCCATTCCATATGAAAATAGAAAGGAATGAAGCCCAACTTAAAATATTTTAAAGTATGAGGGGTGTTTGGCTAACGTGCAAGTTCCTAAACCCAAAATGGTAAAGATCGGACCGGAAAATATTGATTGTGTTTTCATAGAATATGCAACAAATAGTAAGGCATATTATTTTCTGGTTCATAAATCAGAAAATCCCGGCATTCATATTTATACGGTAATCGACTCAGATAATGCTGAATTCTTTGAGAATACTTATTCATATAAAAAGGAATATGAGCCGTCTAATGAAATATCTAAGAGACCTTGGGAAGAAGTAAAGAAAAGTACACCTAATGAGGTGAATCCAACACGTAGTAAACGTCAAAGGACAACTACTTCCATTGGATCAAATTTTCTGACATTCCTGATAGAAAATGAGCTTCAAACTTTGAAAAAAGTTATATCATCCTCGGAAAAAGCGGTCAAAAGTGAGATAGAATCCATATTAAATAACCATACTTGGGAGTTAGTTGATCTTACTCTAGGAAATGAACCATTAGGTTCCAAATGGATGGCATTATTGACATGTATAAGGCAAGACTTATTGTCAATGGATATAGACAACAAGAATTCCTTAACTATTTTAACACATACTCATTAGTTATGAGTATTACGTATATATGGATGTTAGTAGCATTGGCTACGGTGTATGGTCTTGGAATCCATCAAATGGATGTGAAGACAACCTTCTTAAATTGAGATTTAGAGAAAGAAATTTATATGGAACAACCTGAAGAATTTGTGATTTCTGAAGGGAAAACAAAAGATTTGCCAACTTGTTAAGTCACTTTACGGACTAAAATGATCACCCAAGCAGTGACATACGAGATTTAATCAAATAATATTGTCAAATCATATAGTCATTATTTGATTATATGTGGATGATATATTGATGAAATATTTAAAATGTGGGGGCTTTTAACTTATGCATGACAAAAGCCAATGTTAAATGTAATATCTAAATGATATAATTTTTGAAACCCACTAATCCTTAGTGGATATTGATATGATAGTCGGTGAATTCATTACTTGTTCAGTCTTAGTGATGACTAGTGATGAAACTATAAATTCGAAAGTTGTTTACGTACCTTTCCAGAAATGATTTGCTCTTTATTGAACATTTATAATGTTTAGCTCTTTTATGAAAGGGTGTCACCTGGAAGGCTGTGACTTTTCATGAAAGGTGTGTTAGTATGTTTTGTATAAATAAGACTGTTCATGAACAAATGTATTAATATGTTGGTCTATAATGAGGTCACCCAACCGATAAACATGACCAAAATCCATTGCAAGTTGGATTAGTTTCATGAATGAAGGTATTATAATTTGCATATCATATAGACGTATGAATAAATAGCATACAAATGCTTAAAAATGGTGGAGTGATTGCGAAATATATTATATATTAAAAGGTTGTGGCCACAACTGATGCTAATCATTCCAATTGTTGTTATAATATACTATTGCTACATTAAGTGTAGTCAACAATCTGAAATGCAATAGAAAGTTGAGACGTATTACTCTACGACATAAGGAAGTTCGCATTGAACTTTCATGAAAATAAAATGAGTTTTGGGATATTTGAAATATATCCATGACTATGCATTGCACTATAATAAGTATCGTACGGTTATTAAGAGGTATAATGATGCAAATTGGATCACCGGATCAACCTAAACTAAATCCACAAGTGGATATACTTTTACATCAGTGGAGGAATTGGGTCTTGGAAATCATCCAAACAAACGTGCATTGCCTCTCTACAATGGATGCTGAGGTTATAGCCTGAGACAAGGCCGGTGAAGAAGTGGAATCTTAGCCCAAAATATTGGCACCTCTATGCATACATTGTGATAGTCAAACGGTAATATGAAGGGCTGGGAGCATTATGTATAACAAAAAAAATCTTGTCACATACGACAAGACATAAAACCGTTAGGCAACTACTCTCTAGGGGAATTATCATAATTGACTATGTGAAGTCAAGCGATAATATGTCGGATCCATTTACAAAAGGCCTAACTAGAGAGGTAGTTGAAAGATCATCGAGGGGAATGAGACTATGGCCGAGGACAAGTCATTGTGGTGATAACTTTATCTAGAAGACTGGAGATCCCAAGATCTAGGTTCAAGGAGCTCAAACAGAGTCATTAATGACGGTTCAATATTGTCAAATAAAATTTATTTTTGATACATTCTCGTGATGAGACAATGTTCAGTACCAATGATAAAGTATTAAGATTTTTTAATGGTTTTTAAGTTTGATACGGGGTATATCAAATAGTATATCTACGGGATAACACGTTTAGGAATCACCTATGTAAGTGTGAAGTGTTAGCCGCTTCAAGAAGAGTTCTGTAAGGCTAATTCTCTGTGCACTTATGAAATCAGGCGGTCTTCATGGCTGAAACGAATACAACAATGAGAACCAAAGACGATTAAGGGTTGATTGTGTGATTTATGGTTGTCTAGGTATACACCAAAGCTCGACGGTTCAAAGATATCAAATCTACTGATTAAACGAGTATATCCGACATATGTTCACTACGGAAAGTTCAAAAGGAAACCTATTTATTCAGATACGATTAATCCTTACTTGCGAATCACACAAGTTTTTTGCATATTTATTTTTAAACATATTGCCATTCCCCACTCATGTGGGAGATTGTTAGGTTTCGTGAATGGGCGTGAATGGAAAATGGAAGAGGCACATTTTGAATTGCACCTCTTCATCTCACCCTTTTCATTGTCTATAAATTTAGAGGCTTAGCCTCATTTTTCAAAGATGGAAAAATCTGAAAACTTCTCCCCTCTTTTCTACATTGTTGCATTATTTTTTCAAATAAATATAGTGTCAAGTGTAATTTGCTCCATTTGTTGAGTTCGTTGAAATTCTGTAATTTCGATTGCCAATATTACAGAATAGTTTTTCCGTTCTATCCTGGGAGGAAGTAATCCATAACCTTGGGCGGCAGTGATGGGATTAAATTCTTTAAGGACACACAAGCAACTTGTGGGCTCAGAATTATTTTACGATTTGTTTATTGAACTAATATTTCTTTACTTCTCTCTGATTTTCTATTTTTGAACACAGTTTACCAACAGTTATAGCTGATAAAAACTTCTCATCCCACTTTGATGGAAAGTTGGATTAACGCTTTTGAAAACAAGACCTTTCTCAACTGCAAGATTCACGATTATTTTGCATCAGTAATGTGAGAAAGAAAGCAGTGTAAAAGAGAGAAATCAGTTTCTCAAGAACTAGCAAAGATTACGCAATTCCGCTGAAATCAAGAAAATACTATCAAATTGGATATGTTTTCTTGATTTAAGTACTATTACTTTTTTTTTGGTAATAATCATTAAGTTTCACTATCCTAAAAGGTGAATTAAATTGTTTATATATATAAGCAGTTTACGATCTATTCCTGAAAATCCTTACATTAACTTCTATAAACTTTTACTCTATGGTCATATGTTCTAATATCGTTTAGTGAGTGCTTAACCCCAAAAAGGCCTTATTAATACCTCACATTGTAAAAGAGCTTGGCAATAGTTATTTATGGAATATCATTATCTGGGCGGGGTATGATACATTGGTCTAAGTATAAATTAAATGGTCACTATAGTCAATCCTCTCTATAACAACCTCGTTTGTTTTGATATTTTTTGGCTTTTATAATTAATGGTTGTTATACGTCTATAACAACATTTGACATTTAAATATTATTTGGCTGTTATAGATAAAAATTATCCAAAAATTAATTATTTTTTCTTTTTTAGTGTCTATATAAAAGATAAGAAAATTATTCAAATTTAAAATCTCAAAAGGTATGCATTTCACTAGTTAATATATTATTAATATATTCATAACTAAACGTATAAAGATTTAAACTCTAAGGCAGACATTTTAAAGCTACCTAGAAAAATAAATTCTTTCAAGATTGATAGAAGACCTTTGTAATTGTAGCTTTTTCGTAGATTTTATTCTCTTACTAGCAATATAACACTTGAATTGCCGAAGATTTGTGTCCAAATTTTCAGCAAAAATGTATCTAATAGCTTTTCCTTGAATACAATCTAAGAGCTTAAAAGTTAAATTTTTTATTTAAATATTTTTTGAAATTTGTCCAATGGAAAAGATATCATGAGCAAATCTTCAAATCTTATATCTTATGCAAGATAAAAACTTTATTTAATGGAAAAGATTGTGTGCATATTTTTAAAATTATTATTAGTAATCTTAATGATTCTATATGGATGTTATAGAGGGACAATTTTACAAAGAGCGTTCTGCTATAAATATGGTTGTTATTGTTATAGGTAAAAAGCTATTAGAAAGAGGTAAAATATAACTTAAAAAATTAATTTGGAGAAAAACTTGATTTTTATAGTGAATATATAAAAAATATTGATGTTATAGAGAAGTTTACCAATCACATCTCTCGTTTGGATTTCCTCCATAAGTCATAATCTTAATTAGTCATGGAATTGATTTGACTTCACCAAGATACACTTACATACACATACTAAATGCTAAGGTTGAATGCATAGACTACCCCTCAAACCTACCAAAAAGTTTGGGGGCCGTATCTTATTTTATTTAATCTAAAAATAGAAAAAAAATTCTAAGACACTTTGGAGGTGCCACCTCCAATTACTCGGGAATTAGATCAGATAAAGATTTACTTGTACCTTTTATTTACAGTTTATCACTTCTTTGTTGGCCCCATTCAACACTTCCAAAACCCAATATAAGAAACATACATGCTCTTCATTCTTCAATTCCTGCTTTAGCATTCTCTTCTTCTTCCAAAACCTCACTTCCAAGTCGTTTTCCCTTTTTCTTCATTCTTCACAAAAACAACAGAAAAAATCCATGGACAAGACAAAAAGAGAAGCTGTTGATTTCATGAACGTGGAGACCTTCTCTCAGCTAATTCCCTTTATCCGACCACCACCACCACCTGTTAAAGAAAAGCCCATTCGGCTTTTCGGCAAAGAACTTGAAGGTGGTCGTAATGCTACGACCACGACTGACATGTCTGAATCCATTGACAGCAACCCTTTTCATGACGAACCTGAAATAATTACTGCGAATCCTGTGAACTATGCTTATAAAGAAAGTCATATCGGCAACAATGAGGAGAGTAACAAGAAATATGAATGTCAATATTGTTTTAGGAACTTCCCAACTTCTCAAGCCTTAGGAGGCCATCAAAATGCACACAAGAGAGAACGCCAGAATGCCAAACGAGCTCATCTTCAGTCTGCCTTAGCACATGGTAAGATAATAGTATCGTATCCTCCCTCCTTTTGAGTTTATGTTACCCTATTTGCTTTAGTAAATATTTCTAAATTTGAAAATAATTTTAACTTACATTTTTTATTTTAGCCTTAATAACAAGCTTTTATAGTCACACAAATATAATGTTATGTTTAAAATTATAAGTTTCAAAAGTATTATAGGTACACAAAAAATGATATATGACAGAAAATATTTCCTACAAAATTTTTTCACAAATACCAAACTATATTCTCCCTCAAGAATATTGTTTTCCATTAAAAAGGGGAAAAAACCATTCTTCACTTACGTTTTTCTTGATAGTCCATTAGAAATAATTTTACTCATAATCATTCAACATGGGATAATAGTATCGTTTTTATATTGTGTTGTTACTTTAAATATAACGTTTATTTCTTATCGACAGAGGCAAACATATATGGGATAATGAACCATCATCGCCTTGGTGAACCAGCAGCTCCTAGTACTACTCGTTATTCAACATGGAACAACATTAACAATAGTACGAGGTCTTATGGAAACCATCATGTTATTAGTCCTTATTCTCAAACTCCTATAAACAGAAATCCATTGGCATTTTGGCGGATTTCTCCAGCAGTTCATCAGAATTTTTCTTCTAACTTAGTGTTTCCTAATGATGATTTGAAACCTTTTCCAACGGTTAAAAGCCCTAATTGTGATAGCACATTTGGATATGAACCCAAGGGAGGAGTTCAAGATCATTTAAGTTTAGATTTGCACTTGTAAGGATGGTGTAATCTTAATAATTTCTTTTGAGACAAATGTCTACTTCTTTTTAAGAACTTGTGCTGAAGAATTAGCTTAATAATATTGTTTCCTCCTAGAATTTAACTATTGATATTGTAAAGAGTTTTTACACTATTTGTGTAATTTAAACAGTTACAGCTGATTGTGTGCATTATTTTTATTACTAATTCCACTTATTTAGACAGTTAATTCCTTATATGGAGTAGTATTCTTTTATTTGATGTAATGACGTAAAAATTCTTTTACTGTACCAACATATAGAAGCCTGAACTCTTCTGTAATTTCTGCTTGTGGATGTGTTGAGTGTGGGCGTGGAGCGTCCGGTGCAAAAAGGCCTTAGATGTGCAAAACCTAGGCTACTTATATATTCCTCATATTTATTTTATGTGATACTCTTTTTTTTTTGGTTTGTTCCATAAAAAAAATTATATCTTTCAATATTTAAAATTAATTTAGCTTTAAACTTCTCATTTTATTCTTAATGTCCTGATTTTGTAGTTAGAGCTGTATATCGAATACGTTAACAGAAATGTTGTATTCGGGGGTTGGGAGGGGGGGGGGGGGGGGGGGGGCGCAAAGAGTAGGAAATATTGTTCAGGTTAGGTTTTTCTGCATGAAATGTTACTCCTAGAGTATTATTTTATGGAAAAGAAGACTGATGTTTCTGTAGCATAAGATTCAGCGTCTCGTTCGTTAATGAATTTTCTTCTTCTTCTCCTCTATCGAAGAGAGAGGGGAGCACAGCTTGTATATGCATGTGTAGTAGACTAGCAGTGGGTTAAGGATAACAAATTCATACAATGACACAAACACAGACTTGGTTTTTTTCAAACATACTCCTAAACTGTCTTCTTTTTCATTAAAATACAAAGTAGTCAAGGGCGCGCGAATACGTTTTAGATGTTTCTTGCATATACGTTTTAGATGTTTCTTGCATATATCCTAGTTTTTCGGCACACACGTGTGTTCTGAGTCAGGTATTACATAATTTTATAAAATAATATTAATATTATCAAAATGAAATTTTGAGTAAATAATTATACATGAATGAATTGAGTACAAATTTCTGATCAATAATGTGGATTGCCATGTGACAACTTGTTTGTCAAGGTCAAGCATTAGATATTGTCTAAACCTACGAAGATGAACAATCAAATTTTAATTAGATATGTGTGCTTGTTTTTACTTATTTTGATTTTATGAGTTACATGACATGTAATAGCGTAGCTCACGTCCACACCTAATATTCATTATAATACGCCGATACTTATTCCCTTCTTGTATTCCAGATCCTATATGTATATGTATCTAATATGCAATATATGTGAAGAAGAATTAGTGTCTTGTGTGTTCTGTGGTATAGTCAATAGTGTGCGTTGTTTGTTCATACAGCAGAGGAATTGTTGCAGAGAGTGTCTTGGCACAAAATATTCTACAATGAAATGCATTTGGTCTAAGGCATTACTATTAACAAAAACAGAGAAGAAAATTAAAATTCCCATCAGACAACCTGGAGGAGAAAAGCCTTAATTCTTACTGTTGTTTTGCATCATGGCTTTTAGTTTACCATTGGTTGGTGAACTTACAAATCTTGGCTACTATTTGAATTACTTATCCCATAATCATTGCTATCTAAAGTGAATGGCTGAAATGTGAAGAGAAAATATTAATATAAAGGACTATAAATCAGGGATTACTTACCGGGACCAACATAATAGTAATATCAGTATTTTTTCTAACTTCATGCATAGACATCTTCAGTAACAATGGGATTGTTTAATTCTCCCAACTAATATTCAGATCAGTCAGAACAAAGCAATTAAAATCTTAATAAGAGCCGCATCAAAAACAGAATTCACTTGTGTTCGGTGAGATTGGAGATAGAAGGCGGAAGACTTATTTGCCACGGAAAGAGTTTGGAAAGGCCGGAAGGCTTTGATTGAGGGAAGTTAGTTGGGTACACGAGAAGTTGTTGTTAAGTTCCCCGCCAATTGCTTTAAGTCATCAATATGAAATTACAATCAGAGTGATTTCTTCTTGAACTTTTGACGCCATTTTCTTTTTCGGATGCTTCATTGCAGAGATACTTTCTGCAAAACCAAAAGCTGCCACCGTTTGTTAAGTGCCCGTTTGTTAAGTGTTCCCAACTTTTGTAGCGTTTTTTCATTCGGTCAGTTCCTAAGCGTTAGTTTTTCTTTTTTAAATTTAAATGAGATATTGAGATAAATAAGAAGGGTAATATTGTAATTTAACTTTTTAATTAAGGGGTTTTGCTCTTAATATATTTTGTGTGTATATATATATATATATGTCCTAATTTTGCCTCTAGATCTACCGCCCATTTCCTGTATGTACAAGGATTAGAGGAAGATGTTATGGATAAAGGAAAAGGAGCGTTACAGAAATTGGATATTGGAATTGTCGAAGTAGTTTATGTGTAGTAGAGACGTGATATGCAAAATGGAGCTGGAAGCGCAAGTTAGTTAGATAGTGAAGTCACGTCAGCAGAAGCAGTTAAAAGTTAGTTAGTTGAAAGAGAAGTCAGTTGAGTCAGTTAGAGTAGGCTGCACAATTCAATGTAATCCATTCTCTATAAATGATCTCAGTGTACACATTACAAAGATATTAGAAAAGCTATTACAATTCTCTCTAATTCTACTCTCTTTTTCTCCATTGCTGATAATCTCGAGCTTCTCTGCAAGCTCCTGACTTAGCTGCTCGATCCTCGAACTCTCCACTGAGTTCCTGCAATTGATCTATCAGTGGTATCAGAGCATCCGCATCCTTGGAACTATGACGAAAGATGTTTGATCAAATGATAGTCCAACGGATGAAGTGGGAGAGCTACGTGAGATGATGCTGAAATTAATGGCTGACATTGGGGCTTTGACCGGAGAAGTCTCAAGCTTGAAACAACTAGATCAAGCTGTGATGGAGTTAAGAGAACAATTAGGGAATTCTGGGAAAAATCGAAAGGGTAAAAATCAAGTGGATCATGAAGATGAAGTGGAACCAACAGAGGAAAGATCACACAGGGAAAGGATCCCCAACAGTTATAACAACCACAATTCCAACTTCTCGCGGTGGTCAAGAATGGAGTTTCTTAGATTTGCAGGTGATGATTTACGATCTTGGCTATTCAAAATTGAGCAGTTTTTTTTCTATGGAGAAGGTCCCTGCAAATGAAAGGGTGGAGGTCACAGCTATGCAGTTAGAAGGGGAAGCCATTCAGTGGCATCTATAATTCATGAGATACAAGCAGTATCTACAACCTGCAACTTGGACTGAGTATGTCATAGCACTGGTAGAGAGATTTGGGACCGACTTTGATGATCATATGGAGGAAATCAAAATGATCAAGTAAACGGGGAGTGTGAAGGACTACCAAGCTATGTTTGAGAGGAACTTGAACAGGGTAAATCTGTCACAGGAGAATGCTATTAGTTGTTTTATTGGGGGATTGAAGCATGAACTGAACATGGCAGTGAAGTTAACCAATCCTTCTACACTGTCTCAAGTCTATAGGATAACTAGAATGTAGGAGGCCTATCTTGATGCCACTAGACAAACTGCAACTACTTCTCAACAAGGGCATTCCAAGAGATACATGGAGCAAAGAACTAGTGTTCTACTACCAACTCCCAATTATGGGAATAATACGGCTCCTAAAGGAGATAATAGAAGGACACTCAGTTTGGATGAAATGAATGAAAAGAGAGCCAAAGGTTTATGTTACTTCTATAATGAGAAGTATGTGGTGGGACACAAGTATAGAAATGTGAAGCAGTTAAACTTGCTTGAATTGGAGGAAATGGTAGAACAACAATGTGTGAAAGATGAGGAACACTTTGAACTAGAAGAGCAAGGGCTAGAATTAACTCAACCAGTAGAACAGATGGAAATCTTCATTCATGCTCTAAATGATTCATTGGGGTATAGAACATTAAACGTGATTGGGTACCATTCAAAGAAACCACTGCACATATTGGTAGATACAGGGAGTTGTCATAATTTTATAGATCTAGAATTGATTAAAAAAAATGAATTGCCCTATTATGTCGACTACACCTAGCTAGTAGCAGCAGCCAATGGAAATATGATGAAGGTTGACAAGGTATGCAGGATCTCCTGGCTTTTGCAAGGAGCTGAGTTCTGTGCAGATTTCCTGTTATTACCTCCGAGGGCTGGTGGAGTAGTTTTGGGAGTCCAATGGCTATTGACACTGGGGGACATCAAAATGAATTTCAGGACACTCACTATGGAGTTTTATTATCAAGGAAGAAAGCATGTCTTGAGAGCAGCTGGAACACAAATCCTAACTTCTGGAGCAGGAAAATTGGCTAGAATGTCACGTGAGCAATCACAACTTTGCATGATTCAAGTTGTACCCGCAATGTGTAATGAACTTCAATGGTATTCTTTAGAGTCTAAAGAAGAAGTTAACACACATCCTAGGTTGGTGAAATTGTTAAAAGAATTTAAAGACTTGTTTGCTGAACCCACATATCTACCTCCATCTAGAGGGATATTTGATCATAAAATTATCTTACAACCTGAAACTGAACCTATAAACAAAAGACCTTATAGGTATCCATCTGTCAAAAAGGATGCTATTGCATCACTAGTCAAACAAATGCTATACCAGGGGATTATCCAACCAAGCAGTAGCCCTTTTGCTACTCCTGTAGTGCTAGTTGGAAAAAAAGATAGGTCATGGAGGTTATGTGTTGACTATAGAGATTTGAATAAGAACACTGTGAAAAATACGTTTCCAATTCCAATTGTGAAAGACTTATTGGATAAGTTGGGAGGGGCTAAGGTCTTTTCAAAAATAGACCTAAGGTCTGGTTATCATCAACTGAGAATGACAGTGGAAGATATGCCAAAACTGCTTTTAGAACTCATGCAGGTCACTATGAATACCTAGTGATGCCTTTTGGATTATCAAATTCCCCAACCATATTCCAAGGATTAACAAA